ACAGCTACCATGACAGAAAACCCCAGCATTATTCCCATATTAATGGACTAGGAAAGAAGAATTCAAGCGACCATCTGGTTGACCTCTCCCACTAAAGTGACAAGGACCTTGAAGTCAAATGATCTAAGTTTCTAAAAAGATCATCCTTGAGCAGGGGTGGCCTTTATCAAAATCCCCAGGTGACAGATATTTTGGCTTTGTGGGCTGAATATTTCTTTTCCCACTCTCAGCTCTGTCACTATGTATAGAAGTAGCTGAGGAACATTGTATAGGTGAACATCAATAGTTGTGGGCTTGGACTGAGCTATTGTTGACACCTTCTCTCTTCAAACTGTTGAGTGAGAGGAGGTTCCAGTTTCTTCATGCATTCACACGCACACTAAAACAGCCCCTGCCTCATGCTGTAGTTGATAAAACAAACAAAAATATACTTCCAGCAATTCTAGCTTCAGAAAACTTAAGAAAATTCCAACCTAAGACTGTTTACCTGGTCATGACCATTCAGGTGGACCAGTTGTGGTTATATTGTTAGTTGCAATTTCACTGGGAGTGCTGCAGACAAGAACAGCCTCAGGAAATCCAGAGGGATATACATGATGCTGGATATCCCAGTCCCTAAAGCTAATCCATCTGCTCTATTGGTGAGCCCTGGATCACCTTCAAAACATGCCTCTGCTGAGCCCCATTTTGTTGTTTGTATATATAGGGTTTCAGGGCTGACCATATTATGCTGGATAACCAAAAGGAATATCCTCTGCATCCTTTGCAGAGGCTAGCTTTCCTTTTTTCAGTAATCAGAAATTGCCTATAATTCCTTGTCCAGGTGTGTGACCTTATGAAACTTGAGACTTTCCACCTTTCTAGTTAGCATGTCTATTGATATTGCAGTGTGTGTGTGTGTGTGTGTGTGTGTGTGTGTGTGTGTGTGTAAAACAATACTATTCAGGGAAGAGGATGGCTTGGAAATAGCTGGAGGAAGGGAACTTTGGGGGAGCTAGAGGAAAAGGAAGGGGAGAAGTGAAGTATTTATATTTTAAGTTAAAAATGTATACAAAAAACCCCAAACAGGGCTCTGGGTCAATTGTCACAGTTGTCAAGTATGCATTTGTGAGTGAAGAGCAGAGGTTAGCTGAGAGAGGCTGTCTCACTGCTCTCTTCCTATGGTGAAAAGATGACAGACTGTAGTCTACCTGCAGTCCTATCCTAGATGGAACCTAAGAAGACTCCTGACTTGTTTTAGAGAATGGTGGAGACATAGTGGAAAACGGCAGAGTGGCCAGCTCTGATGTGCACTGCATGGCACACTCTGGGAAGACATCCCTCATCAGTCCACCTTAGAGAACTAGCCAGCAAGAGAAAGCTCCTTATTTGAGGTCACATCTACTCCCTGGGATAAAAAGGCCCAGCCTTCATGCTCAGAGCAACAATGAAGGGTCATTCCCACCCTTGAGGTTGCTATGGCCTTTGCTTTGTCAGTCCACCAAATGCCTTTCCTATCTACTCATGCCTTCTCTCTCTTCCTGCAATTCAGGGCATTCTCACAAGCATTCCCTAGGATATAGACAGTTCATTGATCACCCCTCAGAGTCTGAGTCCCAGGAACACAGGATGCAATACTGGCAAGTGGTTCTACGTCAGGAATCAGCTAATTATAGGCAGGCTAATCCAGCATACCATTTGCCTTTGTAAATAAAGCTTTATTAGCAACAGTCAAATCAGTCTACACATTGCAGTATTTTCCCACCAGAAAAGCAGGGATGAATAAATGTCATACAAATTGGAGGGTCTGTGAAGATGAACACACTTTCCTTTATGAGGAGGAGAGGGGTGAGAGGGATAGTGAGAAGGGGAGGAGAAGAGAGGGGAGAGGAGGAGACAAGAGAGGGGAAGAGAGAAATAAAAAGAGGAAGAGGGGAGTGAAGAGAAAAGAAGAGGAGAGGGGAAAAGGAAAGAAAGAACTAAAGGCTGCTTCAGTAATTCTAGATCATCAGAGGAAGGAAACACATTTGCAAAATAAGTTTCTTCCCAAGCCTTCTGAGCCCTCTAGAAATAAGTCCTCTAGGATAAGAGAGCTGAGTCCAGGAGGCCAGCCTCCTCTCAGGTAAGCCTGATGTGTAAATGAAATGAAGCTAGCTCACTACACATGCCTCACACCTCAGAACACAAACAGGTTTGGTATCCATGTGTGGCCTGGCGGAGGTTTCTTCCTTCCAGCTATGCAGGCTGATGCCTTGAGGGCAGTGGCTCTCACCCTTCCTAACACTGTGATCCTTGAATCAGTTCTTCATGTTGTGGTGACCCCCAACCATAAAATTATTCCATTGCTTCTTCATAGCTGTAGTTTTGCTGCTGTTATGAATTGTAATATAAATGTCAGATATGTGACCCTGGAGGGTCACCATCCACAGTTTGAGACTCACTGCTTTAGAGCATGTGCACTTGCTGAGGGCCTACCAGTCCAGAAGGTCCACCACAAAGCAGGAACCCAGGCAAGCAGGTGTAGGCAGAGCATCCTTAGTCTTTTCTCCAACATCATCTAACATTATATCTTGCTCTCTATCTACTTGGATGTCTCAGGAAGCTTCAGAGCTGGACCACAGTTCAAAACTAGGCAATTCTTAGTGTATCATAATTGATAGTGGATCAATCACACACACACAGTGATGTCAGAACCATTCAGATCAATGTGAAAATTCCCACAGAGTGCCACAGGGACCCAGATTTCAGATAGGGAAAGATCTCTGAGCTGATGAGCTTTAGCCAAATCAATAACACAACTTAATATATCTCATCAGAAACTCATTTGTAGCCCATTGGCCACCACCCCAGGATAGGCTCCTAAGCAGTCTTCAAACACCTCCCTCTATGGTGACAATGGGGACCTGTCCACTCCTGGGCACCATCAATGCCCTGATGACTCTGCCAAGGACTGTTTCTGGCAAGAATGCAACAGGAGTCATGGACACAGTTCTGGCACTTAATGGACACATGGACTTGGGTAAGTAATTTAATCTTCCAGCCTTATTTGTCTTATCTACAAAATAGACTTAACTGATACTTTCTCTACAAAATTGTTCAGATGGTTTGAAATAGTGGATACAAACCAAGCTCTGGCACTGGGGATTTTTACAACACATACCACGGTTATTCATGATGCAGATAATGATAACAAGGTGGGTAAGAGTGATGAAAGTTCACCTCACTACACAGGCAGAGATTTGTATGACATTGACCTCTACAGTGCCAGCAGGATGATCACTGACAGTGAAGACAAAGCATCAAGGACCAAGGAGGTATGCAAAAAGAGAACCCATTAACTTCAGTCCCAAGGAAACGCAGGTGACCATGTGTCTACTGGGACTGTCTGTTTTTCATGAAGTGGTTACATGTACACTCATCTCCCTTCATTTTAGGAGTCTTCCTGAGTGCATGCATCTCTTCCAGGCTTACTCAAGAATACCATCTGTAGAACTTTCTATCCAATGACCTAATGACTACAGCCCAAACTGTCTTGACTCTATGGACTCTCCCACACATCTGCAAAGGTGGCTGGGATGCCAGCAAAATGAACTCAGAGGGGATCCTGCTTGAAAGAGGTTTAGATGAAAGGAGTTGGCATTGAACACTAAGAAGAATGATGCCCATTAATAGTGTGTGTAGCCACAGGAAGCCATCAAGAATGCCTCAGATACAGTTCCAGTTACAGACAGGAAGAAGCACGGGTTCTGTGAGTCTTAATGAGCATCACCACGGTCTGAGAGCAGTTGCATTAAGGCTAAAAGGCTCTGTGAGGGTATCAGCTGAGCTTGCAAGTACACCCTGGGATGATGGCATACCCTGTACCAGGATAGACTTGGATCATTAGAACTAGTGGATTGTAAGTAGTGCTTGTAAACTTCAGTCAGGGGTTCTGTGGCATGCTTTCTCATTAATCAACAAAAAAATGCAGACCACTGAACATGACACATATATATATATATATATATATATATATATATGTGTGTGTGTGTGTGTGTGTGTGTGTGTGTGTGTATGTGTGTATGTGTGAGTGTATGTACACATATCCATGCATTCATGCATACCAGAGGCACATGTCCCAAACTAGCACTTATTTTAATGGAGCACAGCATTCTAAAAGACACAATGGTCTCTGCTTTCCTTTGGGCCTGAGGGTTAAGAATTATTTCTTTGTGCATCTCCTCAATCCTTGATGCTTTCTGTGGTGTTGGTTATTGAGGTAGAAACTGCTGAGACTCACATGGTACTCCTTGCCTTCAAAAATTCCATCTGGAGCTGATAGAAATGGGAAATAAAGTTAAGCTTGAAGACGTTCAAGAATACTAATTACTGAGTGAATGATATAAGCTCAGAGCCGTGGTGTCACTGTCCATATTCACTGAGCTAGAAAATAAGAGAATGTGCTTAGGGTTCCCTGAGCCTCTGTGGCTTTCTTCAAATGACAGGATGAGGCCCTGGGATTTCGAGTCAGGCTCTAAATGTGAGTCTCTAAGATGCATTGCTATTCTGATGATGTCAGCCCCACAGGAGGCAGAGCTAACCTTCCCTAGCCCACTTAAGAAAATCCTTTACAGGAACAGCCAGACTCCTTACAAAGCCATAGGGAAGCCGCTCTGCTCCAAGCTGGGTGTTTGTGATCTGGCTCTGGTTATTTGTAAGGAGCCTTTGGTGAAATTTTCTAAAAATCCAAGTGATTATTCTATACTGCCAGTCAAGTTGTGCTCACCACAGAGAGTGCAGTTTCTCTGTTTCTGGAATCATCATCAATAAGGAAGATGAGCTGCTCAGCTTGAGCAGTTGCCTTAAATACTAAAGTGGAGTTTATCTTTGTAACACAGAATGGCTGCTTGCTTTTTCCTGCATGCAGTGAGTGTTGATTCAGGCATTTCAATCGCTTAATCAATCCAAAAGCTATATCGAACTTACTTTAGAGATCTCTCGTCAGCCAATATATCTACACTTGTTAAAATTAATTACACCGTTTAACATTTCCACATGCATTATAGTTTTAAGTGTTTCACGGTCATTTTTATTAATTAATAAACCCTTAATGGGCAAAAATTCATACTATAAAATTATTATGCATATGCTTCACTTTCAGTTTTACTATTATTTCTTTGAAATATTTTTCCCAAGTGGAAAGTCCATGACTCATAAAGCAGTCACTCACAGAAAGTACAACTGACAATAGAAGTTTATTAAGAGACAGAGAAATCTGTGCTGCTTCCCTCCCTCCAAGACAGACCCACTTCCTCTCCTGAAAGCCAAAGGGTCTTGGGGAAGCCCACCTGGGAGAGTCTGTCTGGCCCTGAAAGAGCAGAAATAGTAACAAATTCCAGCCAGGATTCTCCAGACACAACCCAGGACACATGATTCCTTTTGCTGCTGTTAGAGAAGGAACATTCCAACTTTCCCATTAGAAGACATGCTGTAAATAGCAAGCGCTCGCGCACGCACGCACACACACACACACACACACACACACACACACACACACACACACACACACACACGTGCATTCATTCCATTATAGAACTCAGGTGTAGTTTTCAAATCTTGATGCTAACCCATTCATCAATAATGTGATTGAAAAGTGAAAAACCTCAGAATCCTAGTCAATCCCTCAATATTCAAATGTTGGACCCTTTAGTTTTTTTGTTTTTGTTTTTTTTTTTTTTTTTTTTTTTTTTTTTTAAATCTGGGTGTGGGTGACATTTTATTCTACTCACCCTGCTCTGGAATGTGATGTGAGCACGCTCTACTCCAGCTGCTATGGGCGACACAGTTTGCTATGGGTTGCACGTGTGGCCTGCCACTATATTGTTGGTATAGTTAATTTGAGTGACAGTCTCTTATTATCTAAACATGTCTTATCTGAGAACATCTTCTTAATCAAACATCAAAACCAACTTATGAGTTGTTGACTTGAAGCAGAGATGACCAAATGCTCAATGTGAAAGAATTCCTGGGATAAGTTGTACAGAAGAAATTCAACCCCCCCCCTTAGCAGAACACTGATATTGGGCACCCTCCAGCAAGTGGACATCTACTCACCTGCCCTGTAACTCCAGCCAGGAATATGGATAGAGAGTTGGTTGGCATGGCTGCTAGTGGGACATGTTGCACGGTTTTCTTTCTCCTTTCTTACAGGGACTTGGTTCCTTCCCACATCTGCAAATTTGACATTTTCCAGGGGTGGGGAGCCAGTCCGAGGGCATGTGCCATTCCCCAAATGTACTGGCACCTTCAATGCTGGGTTCTCCTTCCAGTAACCTTCCTGTGGCTGGCCCCATTGTGGACTTAGGAGGTCCTGCTTTCCCTCCAAGAGCTCCTGTGGCAGGGCTCTGCTGATTGGCTCGCCATTAGCTGTGCTGTCTACGCCATCTGCTGTTAACCTGTGGGAACTACAGCGGAGGCTGAGCGACAGGACAGACCTGTGCATTTTGGGGCTAGCAATTTGAGGTTGCTCAAGAGGGACAGAAAGAGACTTGTCCAAATAGTAAATGGCATTGGGACACTGCTGAGACACTCGGAGGTGGACACAGGAACCGAACACCAATGGGACTTTTTTTGATGGTGAACTGTCTGAAGAACAACTGTCCTCTTTGTCATCCATGTGGGTGACCCAGTACTCCTGCCTTGTACACAGCCTTGTATGAGCCTGGGGAACCTTCAGCCCCTCTATGGAGCCATTGCTAGGGAACTCTGTACAGGTGAAGGATCCATTGTGCTGACATAGATGGGCACCCCTGGCCAGAGCTGGGGGGCCTTGGAGAAGGGCATCCTTGGCCCTGCAGTTGGGACACTGTGGTTCCCTAACAGTGTCCCATACCAAGGAGTTATCTGGAGGGCCCACTCGTCGGGCAGTAATGGTGATAGAGGAGAAACCTCTCTGGGGGCCTCTGCCTAAGTTGTCCCCTGTGGACAGTGGTTCTCTTTCCAGTCCTTGTTCCTCTGATGGAGTCAGAATTCCCAATCTGTCTGGAGCCAATGGCCTGTGCATGTTCACTCCACTGTGCCTGGCCGAAGTTGGCTTCGTGTGACACAGCTGAGGCTGAGTGATTGCTTGCGGCACAGGCGACACGGCTCCATTTTCCATTGATTTCTTCTTATCAATCAGCCGGGAAATGACGATGGGTGATATCATTTTTGTGTTTTGTGATGCCAACGTCTCCTAGAAAAGAAGGAGAAAAATCACAATTACTCCAGGAGTTCATAGGAATACAGTCAGTGAATTCTCAAGGGTCAGTGAACTCCCATGGGTCATGGGAATATCGGGGAAGGAGAACTTAGATTTCTCAGGAAAGCCTTCAAGGCACTCTTGATAACCAAATCTGAGCATTCTGAAGATACAGAAACCTAGGCATGTTTGTGTGGAAGTACTGTTGTGATACATTAGCCTAATTAGGGGAAGGACAAACTAACCCAGTGAGGTGTCAGTCTACTAGCCTTGTGCTCCCTCAGTGGAGCCCCACCCCACTGTGATAGACCCTGCCAGACCCAAGGATCTCAAAACAAAATCTCACAGTCTCAATAAGGAAGGGAGGCAGAAGGGTGACTGAGAATTGGAGTTGGGAGAAGTGATAGGCCAGTACTCTGGTGATGGTGTCAGAGAATGTGTTAATAAGGAGCCACCTCCTTAGTTCCTTCTCTCACAGCCTTCCATCTTTGCTGGTTAAGGCTAATTCGGTTAACTTTCTGTGTGCTTGGCCTCACAGAAGTCCAAGTGCAGAGAGCAAGTCAAGGGAAATCAGACGCCCATGTTCAGTTTCCCAGACTAGCCAATCAGTTGACTTCTCTTACCAGGATGGGATGTATCATGATGAAATGTATATCAGTATACAGAATATAGCCGTAGTTCAATACCACTCTGTGAGGCGCTTTTGTCCACATTTTAAATGTTTAAGGAATTCCATGCTTCCTAATAAGCAGTTCCTGAGATCTTACATAAATCACTGCTGTGCGCAGAATAAGACACTGCACTTTTTTTTTTTTTTTTTTTTTTTTTTTTTTTTTTTTTTTTTGCACCGTGTCTAACCAGCTTAAGGGCAAGAAAGGGAATCCCTCTGTTCTTGTGTTTTCAGGTAAGTGTGTTGAATGCCACAGAAGGCTGACCACAGCCCAGCATTCAGTGTATACAGAGCCATGCCCCATTTTTTCTTTATCTTCTTTTTTTCATTTTTTAATTTGAATTAGAAACAAGATTGGTTTACTTGACAATCCCAGTTCCCTTCTCACTCCCCTACCAACCCCCCCAACTAAAACCCTACCTATCACATAGCCTGTCTTCTATTCTTCACCTGACTCACCCTTTCTGCTCCCTCATGACCTCTGCATCCTTCCTCCTCTGCCCTTCTCATGCTCGTAGCTCCCTCTCCCCTCTTCCCATGCTCTCAATTTGCTCAGAGTCTCGTGACCCTTCCCCCTTCTCCAGGGGACAATGTTTGTCTCTTTTAGGGTCCTCCTTGTTTACTAGTTTCTCTGGCAGTGTGGATTGTACCCATGCCTCATTTTTTATGCTTCTAAAATGAACTTGTGTACAGAATTGCATAGACTATAGCTGTGGAAGCCAAAAGGCATCACTAGGGTACTCCGAATTCAAGGCGGCAGATTTGAAATCCCAGCATATCTGAGAAACACCTAGAATATTGTGAGCACAGGTTCCCCAGGCTTGAGATTCTAATGGTGGATTACAGGGGATTTAACCCACACACCCAGTGATCCTGATGTAGGTGACATAGGGAACATGAACAGAGTCACAGCTGGCCTGCTGTCATCTCAAGGATATGCATTCAAAAGGGGTGGGCTAGATACCAAGAAAGCCTGGGCTTTGCCTTTCCCAAGACGAAAGAGAACAAGGGTAGGATTTGTGTTTTCTTTATTTCAAGTTTAATATCCACTTATTTAAATAACTGGTCATTCTCCTCTATCTAGACATGGGACACTGCATATAACACAGTGAAGACACAAGCTAGAGTCATTTGGGAAAGGGGACTTTCAATTGAAAAAATGACTCTATAAGATGGGCCACCTTGCCCACCCTTGATGCAAAAGGAGGAGCTTGGTCCTGCCTCAACTTGATATGCCATGCTTTGTGCAAGCCCAAGGGAGGCCTGTCCCTTTCTGAATAGAGACAGAGGAGGAGTAGATGGGGAGGGGGATAGGTGGGGAGGAGGGATGGGAGAGGAGGAGAGGAGAAAGGGAAAACTACAGTTGGTATGTAAAAGACACTTTAAAAAGTTACTTAAATTTTAAAAAATGGGTCTATAGGAAAGACTGTAGTACTTATTTCCTTGATTGATGATTGATATGGGAGAATCTAGTCCACCATGGGAGGTGAAACCCCTAGGCTGGTGTCCCTGGCTGCAATAAGAAAACAGGCTGAGTAAGCCATGGGGAACAAGCCAGTAAGCAGCACTGTGTGTAGACTAGGCTGGCCTTGAACTCAGAGCTCTGCCTGCCTCTGCCATCCACATACTGGGATTCAAGGCATGTATACCTGGCCCCCTCGGTTTCTATGCCCTTTTTTACTTTTTAAAGATATGTGAGAAGGTGCAAATTTCAAAGATAACCAGAGATAGGAGAAAGGAATGGTGAGTCCATTTTAAACCACTGATGTTTAAAAACAAAGTCTTTTTGCTTCCTGGACAAGGATAGCACTTCAAGCTTCCCTTTCAGTCTTACTGCCACCTTCCAATTCAAGGTCATTCCACAGTACAAGGTCAACCCAGTGGAGATGCCTCCCTAGCACCTCTGACAATACCATACAAAACAATTACCTGTAGCTTGCAAAGCCCAAAAGCCCATGCCTAACCTTAGACAAATCAGTAGACTCTAGGAGGCTAGAGCTGGACTGGAGGGCAGGTGTCAGTGCTTTTCGTATCTCCAGCAGGGTTCCTGTGTTTCTGTGGTACTTCCCCTACTCTACCCTTCTCCCTGCGGCTGTGATTTGCATACAAGAAAAATGACAGTGCACCTGGAGCCCATTTGACGGCACACAGTACCGCCCATCCTAGTTAAATTTAGTCCTGATAATAATTGTTCCTGTGCACCCCACGATGGGTGTAATCATACTCAGTGGGTATTACTTTGACATTGATCTTTGGAGGAAAAAAACAAAACCCAGCTTGGAACCTGCAGTGCTCTTACTCTGCAAGGCAGGGCTTCCTCAAGTTTGGACCAGTGACAACCTGCCCTCAAAAATCTCATGGGGTGGGAGTAGAGATCCCTGAACACCTTCATCTCCAGGCATAAGTTGAATCAAAATCTGTGAGGGTGAGGCCCAGAATCTATATTTGTAATCTGGGTGGCCCTTGGGGGTACATAGATAGGGAAGAAAGAGGCTGAGCTGACTTAGGTGACCTGGGACCCATCCTGAGTCATGGCTCTCAAAGGGCCCAGACCTCAGAGTAGCCTTGATTTGCATAGCTGTATTGCAAGAAGAAGATTGAAATAGAGTCTGTTAAGATGTACCCTTTTTTTTTTTTTGTACTGGAATCACCAATGTCAAAGGGCCCCCATCTTGGATACAGGCTCCAGTGAGTCTGGGCCTTGGAATTAGCATGGCTGCATTGCTAGGAACAAAGAGTTGCCAATTCAGCTTGGAGCCTCACAGAAAAGACCCTGATACTGGCAATGTCAGTCTGGTTCCTCCAGGCAAAGCTCAAGGACATACTTGCTGAAGGCTTCCTTGGGGCCATAGGCCTTGGCACCATTCCAAAAGGATGTAGCATCCCAGGAGAGCCTGGATAAAGAACCAACTGCCATTTCACTATCAGAGGCCAGGAAATTATGACTGCGACTTTTGCCTCCATCAAAAGAGAGAGGAAAGAGCAATAATGAGAAGTGTGAATCTGAACTTTTTTTTCTCAAGTTCTTGTGTTATTCAGGGTGACACTCTTCCTGGGTAAATACACTCTGGCCAGCACCATGGCCAGGAAAAATTGCCTGCCTTCTCTTCTTCCCAGGGAAGGTGTGAAGAACAAAAGGAGATGGCAGTGTCACAGTGTCTCTCAAATCATAAGCCTTGCTTTGGTTTCTTTTCTGTTGCTGTAATAAAATACCAGGGCAAAAGAAATGGAAGGAAGGTAAGGAGGCAGGGAGGAAGAATGCAGGGAAGGAGGGAGGGGGGAAGATGTGTATATTTACAGTGTATATTACAGTGCAGCGGCAGCAGCAGCATCTACAAGCAGCTTGTCACACGCTGTCTGGAGTAAAAAGATGCAGCAGCAGCATCTACAAGCAGCTTGTCACACGCTGTCTGGAGTAAAAAAGTCCAGGATCCAACCCCCTGAAATGGTGCCACCCACAATTAAGATGAGTCTTCCCACATCAACTGACTTAAGAGAATCTCCCCAAAGGGTTGCTTAGAGTCTTGGGTGACTCCTGGGTGATGCCAGGTTTTGTCAAGTTGACAATTAACACTAATTATTACAAACATCTGTATAAATTACTTTTCCCATGACTCAGCAGAGATTAGTAGATAACTGATGTGATCAAAGCAACAGAGACATTTCATCCAACTTATACTTGCCCATAACTGCCTTTCACTGTTGCTTGTAACATTACAGTTATAGGCAAACCATATGCTTAATGATTCAGATGACAAATATTTATTGAACACCTATTGATACTACATGCCAGGTGCATATTGAATAACAAAAACCTTTGTGGTCCCCTGGAATTAACAGCCTGGAGGCAATATCCTAATGATTAGGATAATCAGTAGACTGAGTATTAATCAAAGATCTCCAAAAAAAAAATTAGAGACATTAAAAAGGAAACGAGGGACTTTTCAAACTTTAATATATACAATACTTCTGTAAGGCAAGTTTTGTATATCAAATCTCATTTCCTCACTGAGACCAATAGATAACCGAATAGAATATGCAACCTAGCACTGGGGAGATGGTTTGGTTGATGAAGTGCTTCCGCATAGGCATGGGAACTTGAGTTTGGATCTCTAGCACCCATATAAAAAGTAGGACATGATGGCATGTGCCTATAACCACAGCACCATGGAAGCAGAGCCAAGAGGATCCCTGGGGCTTGTTGACCATCTAGTTCAGGCAGAACGATGGAGACTCTATCTAGAAAACTTAGGTAGAAACCAGTCTGGGAAGATACTGATCTCAACCTCTGGCCTCTACACACACAGGTGAG